TTCTATTCAAGGAGGGGGTGCTGGCATTTAAGTCGTGCGAACTAAGACGCATTTGAGTGCGAAACACGAGGTACCTGTCGGCCAGAAATATTGGCACTCATTCTGAGGGAGCTCTGTTTGCCTTCACTGGTAGCATGGGTGTAAAGACAGGTGGTAGTAGCGCAGACAGGGGGGCATGGAGAGTATGTGCCCCCCCCCCCCCTAGGTTCCGAGGGGCCCTTGGGCCCTTCTGAATCTACTTGAGGGCCTGAGGGCCTGACAGGCACGCCGCAGGTTGCATTCAGGGTCCCGGTCCGCAAGGCCGAACACTTAAATGCCAGCCAGAGCGCCTGCACGCTGATCAGGGCCTCCAAACCCCTGGACCAAATCTGGACCCATATGTCGGTCAGATACCTCCAGTAACGCATGGTCGGCTCCATGACGGCATGGACCTAAGGGCTCATTTCCCAAGCGGGGATAAAGCCAGAGCCGGCGATTTACACTGGTCGGGCCCCAGTGTCTATTAAGGCCCCACACGGGGTTCTTGTGATGGCAAGGGGCCCTGAGTTGACCAGAGGCAGTGTTCGAGGAAGTCCAAAGATCCTGGAGGGTCCAACAGCCCCGACGATGAGGGGCCGACTAGGTGGTCTAAGAGCGCGAAGGGCTGCTTGGGGTCTTGTTCAGGGATCCCGGCCTGTGGGGACGGCCCTTTAAATGACAGAGGGCCCTTTGCACCGACCGGGGACCCCCTGAGTCGATGTGGGCCCATATGTCGGTCAGGCACCACCAGTACTGCACAGCTGGCTCCGTGTCGGCATGGGCCTGAGGTTTCACTTCCCAATCAGTCACAAAGCCAGGGCCAGCGATTTACACTGGTCGCGCCCTTTCAGCTGGCAGGGCCCACATTGCCTAACAGGGGGTCATGTGTCGGCTAGTGAACCCCAGTCGGTCACGAGCTTTGTTTGAAAAGGTCCGAAGAGGGGCCGAAGGACCCCTCAAGACCCAAGTTCAAGGGCTCGATTGGACTCGATTGGAGCCGAACAGTCGGCTCCACGCGAGGCTGAGCCCTCAGGTTCCACACCTGTTCACACGGTCACCTCCACCGTTGCTGATAATAAGTTAAATAGCAATAAAATGGCAAATAAATTACCTCTGTTTCTTTGCAAATCGACGCTGTTGTTGTAATGCGGTGGTAGTAATGCGCCGTCAGTGCGTCATGTGAACAACAAAGGTGATGCGACCTTATGACCTGTTAAGATTACCGGCATATGGGGCCGACAAAAGGATAGCGCGTGCGTGCGGCCGCATCCACTGCCCGCGACAATAAGTATGTTTAATGGACCCCACATCTTGGCAAATCGCCAATGCGGACGACCCGTCATCATTGAGTGCTGGCCTGCCACTGGGTCAACCATAAAAATCCATGCCCTCTTCACAAAAGCGTGCGGTAGCTCCAGCAGGTATCCCTACAGCATCACCATCGAATGCAAACGGTCGCACTCTTCGCAGCACTTGCATAAGTATTTTTTCCCATGCAATACGATGCTGGCCACCACACCACGCGCCGGCCTGCCGCATTAAGTCACGTTCCGTCAAGTGGTGATATGAACGAAATAGGTGACGTCATCCGATGACCGAGCTACGTTGGTGGTCGTTAGTGCCTCCACAATGGGTTCGTGCGCACGTTTATGCTCTCACCGCGCACGACAATAAGTATTTTAAGCTACCCCGTAACTTTTGATATTGTTGTTGCGGTTGCTCCAGCTGCAGTGACCTTTGCATCGTTTTGCATTTTTGTTTACCTTTTTCTCGCGTCCAGTGTCGTAGCTCTTGCCGTTCGTTTTGTATTCTCCGAGAATGGAAAATCTGCTAATGATTGAGTACCCGAATGATCGACATGATTTACTCCAAAGTTCAGTTTATACCGTCTTATCAGCATTTGATCAGCACAGTCTTACATGTCACGGTTTACCGAATATAACACACAGTAATGAAGATGAGGATTTTCTTTTTTGATCGGCTAATGAAGGAATCTAAAAGCATGATGAATGAGAAACCCGGTGCACAAGGCTGCAGTCTGAAATGAGTTGGCAAGGAAAAGCAACAAATTATGATTTTACGGGGGTCGAAGGTCACAGTAGGTTATCGCCTTAATTGCTCTACGTTAGCCTCGGGTGACTTCAGTGTCTGTCGACCATGCTTTACCTTAATTTTGATCGCTTTGAGCGACCCCCAAATCTTGCTTGATTTGCTTCTATGTTTTAGCCAAGTGGAATCATCTGAGGGGGTAACCTGGAAATTTCCGATATGTCAAAATAAGTACCGCCCTTGTGCAAACTCCTGTCGCGCACAAAATGCACGCTCCCGTCCCGCATCAAAATATTTGTGTTTTGCCGTCGTATCTTTGTAAACTGTATCTTCGGCCGACCTGCCAACAGTTAGTGATGCGCTGTCAGGGCGTCTGGTGACTAACTTGATCGGGGAACAGTGTTGGACTGGCAGCTGATGTCCTACAACGGCGCTATCGAGTGACAGTCCTACAGCGGCGCTATCGAATGATTGTCCTACAGCGGCGTTGTCGAATGGTAGTCTTACAGAGGCGCCATCGAATGATGGCTCTGCAGCGGCGCTGTCGAATGATAGTACTGCAGGGGCGCTATCGCATGCTACTCCTATAGCGGCCTGTTGAATGATAATCCTACAGCAGCGCTGTCTAATGATAGCCCTACAGCGGCGCTATCGAATGATAATCCCATAGCGACGCTTTCGAATGATGCAGGACCACTGCAGCGGCGCTATCGAATGGCAGTCTTACAGTGGCGCCATCGAATGGTGGTTCTGCAGCGGCGCTGTCGAATGATATTACTGCAGGGGCGCTATGGCATGATAGTCCTACAGCAGCGCTGTCGAATGATGATCCTACAGCAGCGCTGTCGAATGATAATCCTACAGCAGCGCTGTCGAATGCCACGATCGCGCCCTTTACGCGCGAATGTAATAATCTTCCCGGGCCGCCGTGTACGGATGACAGCACGGGACAGCTGTCCGCATTTGTAATGTACCTACAGTGGTCCACCATACGCTGGCCATTGAGCCACATTTTTTCCGGCTGCATGCAGTAATGTGGCGTCAAAGGTTCACGTCAACATAATAAACGATTTCGGCCGACTAATAATTTTCATTGGAGGCCATGGGCGCTCCCACAATGACATGGTGAGAATGCGGTCCGCCCTCCGCTTACGATAAGTCATGCTTATAGCCGGCAGCCGTATTTTTTTAAGTTGTCGATGCTCCAGTGCCGTCAGCATTGAGTGATGCGCTACCTGAGGCCAGCCGAAAAGGAATGCCTTCGACGGACAAGCCCGTTGCAATGCTAGCTGATGGCAATACATTAGCACTATCAAATGTACACGCACGGGCTCTCCGCGCACGATGAGATGCATTTCCCTGGTACGCTGCATGCTTACCATCACGGTCCGGTCCGGCCGGGAGCAATAAGTAATGCGGCGTTACGCGGTAATCTGAACAAGTCAGGTTATGCCAGTCGTCAACTGATCTGCATAGCCGACCGATAGCGTTCCCACAATGATGCCGTGGGAACACCGCAGGATCACACGAATCCGACATTACGTCATTTGGATCGCCCACACAAACTTCGCAACTCGCCGCTGCGGCCGGCCCATCAGCAGTGAGTAATTTGATTCTCCGAACAAAAGGAATGCCTTCTACGGGAAGGGTATTGTGATGCCTGCCAGCTGCTAGTAGCACAGCAGCGCCACTGAATGCACACGTTCTCACTCTTCGCGTTTGGTTGTGAGTAGTTTTCCCGAGTCGGCGTATGTTGGTCATCACGGTAGCGGCCAGCTGGCGGAGCTTTATGATTCACCCCCAGAGGGTCGCATGAACAAAAAAGTGATGGCTGAAAACTGGTTTACGTTGCCGACCGATAGCGCTCCCACAATGCTGTATTGTGCACACGGTCACATTCGCCGCGCACGACCAGCAGTGTTTTGAATTGACCGCCGCATCTTTGCGATACGCCACTGCTGCTGGCTCGTCAGGCTTTCGTGATGCACTGTCCAGGGTTCAAAAGCATGCATAGATGCCTTCATCGGACAAACGTGTTGCACTGACAGATGACAGCCCTATGCATCAGAATCAGAAAACGAAAATCCTGCAAGCGCGTATAATTATCCAAGGCCTTCACGCTTTACCAGAAGAGTGTGCACAACCACGGAAGATTTTGCTGCCGCGGTTTCAGGATCGACGACGCTTTCTGTAAGCTTCCAACACACGCAGTGTCCAGAAGTCACCAATCCATCGCAACATGTATTGCTGCCATGTGTGGCCGTCCTTCTCGTCTACGGAGCTCTTTACAGGCGGCTGATGTACTAGTCGGCCGCGAGCACATACAATGCAGCTGCGTGACACATGACATCGTAGGCCGGGCAAACATACAAAGCGCTTACATTTCGACAGCTATTCGCCGTTGCCAGATCCCATCTCCGCTTCGGAAAACTTAAACAGGGGACGTATGAACGTGCCGTATGCTTAAGCTGGCGGCTCATTCGCTATCCACAAGCTGGACCAAAGCTACATATCGTGTTCGCCTCGTGCCTGCTCTGCTAACTTGCAGTGACTGGTCAGCGTATCAGTATAGGCCATGTCTATTGTGTGAAGGACGTCAGCTGAGCTGACAAGTGATGATTGGCTGTCAAACGAGGTGGCATCGGCTGTCGTGCCGACCAGTAACATTTCATTGGAGGGAGAGTCCAGTAGGCTGGAATCAGCTAACTGGCATCCTGCGTTGGCTGACTGGCCCGCCAGAGAGTCAGCATTGACTGATTGGCTTACCAGAAAGCCAGGGCTGTTTGACTGGCCTGACAGAGGCCCATCGTTGGTCGACTGGCCCGCGAGAGATCCGGCATTGGCTGACTGACCGGTCAGAGACCAGGCAGTGGCCCGCTGGCCTGTTAAGGACTCAACGCTGGCTGACGGGTCTGCCAGTGGCCTGACAGTGCTCAGTTCGTCTGCCAGAGACCCGGCACCGGCTGCTTGGCGTGCTGACAGCTGGACACTGTCAGCTCGGCTGTCACCGACATCCGCTGTCTGCCCGACAGTGACGTCGTTGTCGTGTGGAGCGGCCGGCTCGCCGTCCAGAGAGCTGTCTTCTTCCGACTGGTCCGACAGCGAACCGTCGGGCATCTGGCCGGCCGGCAAGGCGGGTGCCGTCCCCCCGGCCGTGCGGCGCGCCGTGGGCGGCGGCCAGCCCGAGCCCGGCGACGCCCGCGCGCGCGCCGTAGTTGAGTGGGTCCCAGTGACTGCGCCGCAGCTGCAGCTCGCCCTCCTCGAACGGCGCCGGCCGCAAGAAGGTGACGTCACCGTGCGAGCTGTAGCGGTGGCGGCCGGCGAGCGGGCCGGGCCGGCTGGACGGCGGCGGCCGGCCCTGGCCCACGCTGACCGAGCGCCGCAGCCGCTCGGCGCCCGCCTGGTTCAGCAGCACGTTGAACGTCTGTGGCGGGGGCAGCTCACCGAGCGAGCCGGCCGCGCGCACAAACTGCCACGACGTGTCGGCGCCCTCTTTAGTGTCGTCAATGCCGACTGAGAGGGTGGAGAGGCGCCGCTGTAGGCGGCGGCCGGCCTCCTGCAGCCGCTCGGCAGACCGGCGCGCCTCGCCCGGCCCCGGTCCCGGCGCCGGCCGCGGCTCAGCCTCCTCCGACAGGCGGCGGCCGCGCGGCCCCGTCACGCGCCAGCCGTCCGGCCGGCCCGGCCAGCCGCCTTCACTCGATGAGCTCATCGAGTAGCTGGCCGAGAGGGCGGCCGTCCTGCTGGAGGGCAGCGAGCTCTTCTTGTTGGCCTGTGAACTGGAAGAGGGCGCTGAGCCGCGTCGCTGCTTTCGCCGGCCCGTCTTGATGAGTGTCAGCCAGGCTAGGCGCGCCTCGGGGTACTGCAGGCAGCGCGATACGAAGATGATGAAGCCCTGCGTCGAGTTCAGGATGGTGAAGATGTAGGAGAAGGCCAAGCGCGTGCGGCCCAGGGCGAAGGCGCCCAGCACCCAGGTGACGCCCAGCAGCGTCATCACCGTGAATGCACCCCGCACCTGGTGAAATACAGACACGGCCTCCGGTTAGTCACACTTTCGACGCGGACCATTATAACCTGACGACATACTTAGAAGAGTACAATCAAACGTTCACGGATTTTTGGTTAACAACCGGCACCCGCTAAAGCGTTGATCGTGACAGTAGAATCCCGGAGGCATGGGAACGCTTCATGTTGTCGGAGACTCCGGCCAGTCAATGCTAGTCATTGTTAATCAGAGAACGGCCTATCAAACGCCGCGACCACGACCAGGGGTGGGCTAAACTAGTTAGGCATACATTGTTAGGCATAGTTAGATAGTTTAAGTTACATAGTTACATAGGCATACAAACTAGTCAGGCATACTTGCAATCACTACGAGCGTGTATGGCATGACAGGGTAAGGCTCGTACCTGGCTGATTGAGATGGATTTACGAACGGCACCAAATTTGCCCAGCGTCCTCTGCTGGAAGAGAACACGGGCCACTAGCGCGAAGACCACCACGTTGATTACCAGGATCACGCAGCCGGGACCTGAAACAGTGGCATCAGAGGTGGGAGGGGAAGAGTTGTCGCGATCGCCGCGACAGCGTCGCATCTCTGCCGCCTGGTGGTCGGTGGCTGCCCCCAGGCCTGCCGCCACCCGTGATCCACCGGTGGCGGCACCGAGACGGGCCTCTGCACGCCTCGCCAAGGACTCTGGAGATCTGGACGTTCGCTGTCAGATGAACGCGACATCTGCCCTGTGGCCTTGTACAGAGTCTAGGTACCCAGCCGCTGCCACCACACGACACATATACCGCGCCCTGGCACCGTACAGTATCGCTGACGTGACTCTCAACGCTTCCGTGCCAGACCAATGCAGAACTGATCATCATGTCAACAGAAACATTGGTCAAAGTCACTCGTGACAGCCTGTCAGGACGGCAAGTACCGAAGAAGCTGATGTAGTAGATGTACGGCTGTCGTGCCGTGATGACGCAGTAGTGCTCGTCGATGGCCTGATAGTAGGCGCGCCGGTCCGAGGCCAGGGTGGAGAGCACGATCGCCAGGGGAAGGCCTGCGGGCGTGTCATCACCGGTCAGTCGCTGGTGCGCGACTTGGCTGTGCGGGACACGGCAATAGGTGGCTTTAGGACAAAGCTTTAGGAGACCCGCAGATTTTGGGCAAACGGACGCGTTTTAATCTGACACAGTAATATGCAACAGCTCGCACCAGTATCAACAACTGCGACGCCTCACGCCAGTGGCACTGCAGGTGCAACATCTCACGTGAATGGCATGACAACCTGCAAACACGTAAGAACCGCGCGGCGCACTCATCCAACCAAGCGGTCACATCCACATACGGCGCGTTCTCCCAACCAAGCGGTCACATCCACATACGGCGCGTTCTTCCAACCAAGCGGTCACACCCACGCGCGGTGCGCTCATCCAACCAAGCGGTCACGCCCACACGCGGCTCCGCAGCAATGGGTCGCATGGTGCACTGATGGAGACAGAGTCCGCGACGAGCGGTTAGAGTTTTACCAGGAGCGACTGGAGCGCACCCACTGGCTATCTAGGAACGTTTGCATGGCGTTGAGTTCAGACCACGCGCGTGCGTGTCAAGTCGTCAGATCAGGAGAACGTAACGTGCGTGTTCGTGGGACACACGTCTCGGTTGTGCGCCGCTGGGTAGCAGCCGGGGTCGATGTTCTGGCGACTCTGGCGACGCCTGTTGGCCGAACGTGCGCAACAACGAGAGGCCGCCTCGACCTACCCCAGGCGAACAGAAGCCGTTTCACCATGAAGTTGGACTCGGATGTGGCGAACACAGTGATGATGAGCTGGTACATGTTGACCGCCTCCACCAGCATCCAGCAGAGCGAGCTCAGCACCAGGTAGTGGACCTGAAGCCAGATCATATCAGGTCAAGGATTTGATCCCGCCAGCTCGCAGCATAACGGAAGCAAAACACGGAAAGATCAATCTTAGAACAGATTGGCCGAGGTACGTTGACATGATACAAAAAATCGTCTGTTGGTTACGGAAATGGGATCCCCGGTGACTTCTTCAGTATGTATAGAGCCCAAATAGCCTTGAGTAGTTTGAACACTGTCGATTTCACGCGCTGTCTGCAGCGACTTCTGTCACCACAGTGCGAGCGATGCGCACGCAGTCTGCAGCAGCTTCTGTCACCACAGCACCAGCGATGCACACGCTGTCTGCAGCAGCTTCTGTCATCACAGAACCAGCCATGCGCACGCTGTCTACAGCAGCTTCTGTCACCACGGTACCAGCGATGCGCACGCAGTCTGCAGTGACTTCTGTCACCACAGTACCAGCGATTCTCACGCTGTCCGCAGCGACTTCTGTCACCACAGTACCAGCGATGCGCACGCAGTCTGCAGCGACTTCTGTCACCACAGTACCAGCGATTCTCACGCTGTCTGCAGCGACTTCTGTCACCACAGTACCAGCAATGCGCACGCTGTCTGCAGCAGCTTCTGTCACCACAGCACCAGTGACGCACACGCTGTCTGCAGCAGCTTCTGTCATCACAGAACCAGCCATGCGCACGCTGTCTACAGCAGCTTCTATCACCACGGTACCAGCGATGCGCACGCAGTCTGCAGCGACTTCTGTCACCACAGTACCAGCGATTCTCACGCTGTCTGCAGCGACTTCTGTCACCACAGTACCAGCGATGCGCACGCTGTCTGCAGCGACTTCTGTCACCACAGTGCCAGCGATGCGCACGCAGTCTGCAGCGACTTCTGTCACCACAGTACCAGCGATGCGCACGCTGTCTGCAGCGACTTCTGACACCACAGTACCAGCGATGCGCACGCTGTCCGCAGCGACTTCTGTCACCACAGTACCAGCGATGCGCACGCTGTCTGCAGCGACTTCTGTCACCACAGTACCAGCGATTCTCACGCTGTCTGCAGCGACTTCTGTCACCACAGTACCAGCGATGCGCACGCAGTCTGCAGCGACTTCTGACACCACAGTACCAGCGATGCGCACGCTGTCTGCAGCGACTTCTGACACCACAGTACCAGCGATGCGCACGCTGTCCGCAGCGACTTCTGTCACCACAGTACCAGCGATGCGCACGCTGTCTGCAGCGACTTCTGACACCACAGTACCAGCGATGCGCACGCTGTCTGCAGTGACTTCTGTCACCACAGTACCAGCGATTCTCACGCTGTCCGCAGCGACTTCTGACACCACAGTACCAGCGATGCGCACGCTGTCTGCAGCGACTTCTGTCACCACAGTACCAGCGATTCTCACGCTGTCTGCAGCGACTTCTGACACCACAGTACCAGCGATGCGCACGCTGTCCGCAGCGACTTCTGACACCACAGTACCAGCGATGCGCACGCTGTCTGCAGCGACTTCTGACACCACAGTACCAGCGATGCACACGCTGTCTGCAGCAGCTTCTGTCACCACGGTACCAGCGATGCACACGCTGTCTGCAGCGACTTCTGACACCACAGTACCAGCGATGCACACGCTGTCTGCAGAGGCTTCTGTCACCATAGTACCAGCGATGCACACGCTGTTCGCAGCACCTTCTGTCATCACGGTACCAGGGATGCGCACGCTGTTTGCAGCAGCTTTTGTCATCGCAGAACCAACCATGCGCAGCACGCTGTCTGCGGCAGCTTCTGTCACCACAGTACCAGCGATGCGCACGCTGTCTGGCCATTTGACACGGCAGATGACCACGCCGGTCATGGCCGTGTAACGGGCGCGGCCGGAGCCGCCACGGCGCGGACCGGGGTCGGCACCCTACCAGCACGGCGGTGGAGATGCAGAACTGAGCCGACGGCAGCACGGCGTGCAGGTTAGAGACCAGGAAGGCGGCGTTCATCAGCAGCAGCGACACGCACAGGTTGAGCAGGATCTTGCCCTGCCGGTCCCGGTTCAGGCACCTGGCAAGAACAGCGCCCGATAGTGTGGAGGACCGTATCGGCCAGCGGCAGGGCGTAAATCCCTATTCAGGTGCGTTGGGGCTACAGCCCCGTCAACTCTGGCTTCGGGAGAAACACGTCTTCGGAACATTTTTTGCATAGTTTTAGTCATTTTTCTTATTCAGCCAAATCCTCCTAACCTAGTTCGTGGACCTACATCTCTGGTCAGCGCGGAGGACCCGGAAGCTTGTGCACCCGTAGCGTGTTAGCAGAGACGCCCTCAAGGTGTGAAGCCATGCTGGTCAGGATACTTTAAAGACGGCAGGCAGGCAGGCTGCGGAGCGACCCCCATCTGTGCGAGCCTCGGCTGGCACGATCGGGCGCAGGGCAGGATAGGGGCCGCAGCACCGGAGGCAGTTCAGCGCTGTTGAGCCGGTGACGCCGGCGGGGCGGCAGCGCCGAGTTACCTGAACAGACTGTAGGTGAGGATCGTCAGCGCCAGACCCAGCAGGCTGAGCGTGGCGCCTATGTAGCTGAGCACGCTGAGGATGCGCTCGTGCAGGCCGCCGATCGGCGTCGCCACCGGGTCAAACAGGACCGAGAACGAGCTGAGGTGGCTGGTGGAGCAGACGGTGCGCTCGGCCGCCGGCTCTGTCCGGACCCCAGCCGTCGACCACGCCATCTCTGGGGAGCGGGCGGCGTCGGTCAGGCGCGCGTCCTGCAGCTCACACTGCCGCCGCCGCACGTCCGTCTGATCCCCGCCGCCACACGGTCGTTTGTTCCCGCCGCCGCAAGTCTCCCCGGCATCGGTCGTCTCATTCCCGCCGCCGCACGGGGGTCTGACCCCCGCCGCCACATGATCGTCTGACCCCCACCGCCACACGACCGCCCCATCAGTCGTGTGTCCTGAGAGCTAGGCGGGGTTCCAGACTCTTGGATGCGGTTGTGCCATACATCGAGGGAACTTCCCGAGCCATTTAGGCCGCCATGCACAGGCTGGCGCCTACAGTCATGTACGTCACATCATCAAAGACATTTGTGGTCAACTGTAAGCATTACACACTTTTCACTGCCTGTCCTAGGAAAAGAAAGTCATTGATCGCCGACGGGATGGCAGGTGAGTTATGGCAGATCCCACTCCTCCGACCCTTCTCACATTTAACTTAATGTTTTGGGGTGCCACATACGGAATATGAACCAAACCGGTTATGACGTCACCTTCAGCCCGAACTGGCTTCAGTGTCGTTCTGTTATGCAAAATACTGATCCTTCCACACCATCCCATTTATCTTTAGGCAAAAATGCCCGTTCAACTTTGCAGATCCAGCATGATGAAGCCCGTAACGTTCAGCCCACCGTATGAGGACGTATTGGATAGCAACATAACACAAGGCTGGAATAAACCGCTTCAACATGGGAGCATCAGACAAATGGACCAGAGCCCACAGGGGCATTGACAGCATACGGTGAAAAATGCTAATGTGATGATGAAGTTTAAAATGACTGTGCTTTGGCTGGCAGCGCTTCATCACAAGCTTGATGTTGCGCAGCTCCGACTCGCCTGCGAATGCCGTGCAGCACTACACTGCACCTAGCCTGACTGATCGGTGTGAGGAGAAGGACTCACCCTCTTCGTTCCAGTAGACGCAGCGTGGCTGAAAACCTTCAGCAGCGTTCGAAGAAAAGCCGAACGTGACTGGCTCCGGCAGCTGGTGTGCATCGTATCCGGGAACTGCAGCACACAAACACACGACATCGTACCCGGGAACTGCAGCACACAAACACACATCATTGTATTACAAAACTGCGAACGTAAACACTGCACAGTGTTCTGGAACTCCAGTACCCATACGTGCACAGTGTTCTGAAGCCGGTTCAAGCAAGCACAAGGGGCCCTATCCCAGAACCGTAGCACACAGACACAGAGCGTCGTGTTTTGGAACTGCGGCACGGAAACGAGCCGGCCACAGCCCGAAATCGTGGCGCTCAAACACTAACACGTCGCAGAATCCGCGCCTCAGTACTGAGGACCGCGAGCAGCGACGACCACAGACTAAGATGAAAGCTCGACAGCGCCGCTGCAGCTGAGCATGGAACAGTTCAGTCACAGGCCCGCATACATGGACTCCCTGAAGCTATTTATCGGCTCGATGTTCGCCGCCACGACTCGGGAACGACCGACATGGGTCTGATGGGTGGCGGCGGCCAGCCGCCTGAGCGCAATGATTGGTTCTGTGATCAGTCTCCGAGGGCAGGCTCCCGGTCGCGGTGAATGCTCACTGGTGACGCTGATGACGCCGGGATCGGGTCCGACGCGCCGCCGCTGGGCGGGAAACAGCAGCGACGTCCTGTAGGCGATGACGACCAGCCGCAGACGACGCTGGTGCCGGGCGGCCTGCTTCAGCACAGCGTACGGCATCCTCACCTGACGGAGGAGGGAGCACGTACAGTCCACAGGGCACGGCATTCTCACCTGGTGGAGAAGGGCACATACAACACACAGCGTAAAGCATCCTTACCTGACAAAGGAGGAAGCAGGTATGACGCCAGAGAAACGCAACGCGAACACTGTCACTTCACTGGCCATGAAATGTTCAACCGCAAGACAAATATGATAATAGAATTATTCGTGTCTGGTGTACGGCAGCACGATTTCTGACATCAACGGACTTCAGTTGGTCCTCAACCAATGTAACGTGTTCGGCGCAAGTTTTGTGCACAATTTAGTTGTTTGGTTATTTGGCTTAGAGCTCTTTCGGGCAGTAACCAATATTTCAGGGCCATGACATAACTGATACTGTATAACGGTAGGGAAGGACTATGTGCCTGGGGACCCAGTTACCGGGACTAAGCCCACGCAGGGATCCTTCTGCGGAGTGTGCGCTGGCGGGCCCTACCACCGCGGGACCCCTCGGCCCACCAGTGGCTGGCGCATGCAGCCTGCCCCGCACAAGCGGGGTGTTACCGAGGACGCTTGATTAAGCAAGATAGAGGATACAGAAGCGGATGTGCGAAGACGAATCACGTTTTGTGCTACATAGTGCCGGAATTTAGGCATTGGTACAAATTATGACGGAAACATGACTGAGAATTGATTAGGAATGGCGCCATAACCGAGTACGCCAATACTAGTAAGAAATATAACATAATGGACAAATGTGCAAGTACGCCTCGAGAAAGAGACAAAACACCAGCACATTACAATATTTGGTTTCGCAAGCGCGCTCCAGAAAAAAAAATCCGTCAACTCTCGATAAATGTGAATACTGCAAGTGAGCCAGCCTGTCCGCTACAGTGACAATTCTGACAAGGCTAGTCTTGTACCAACTCTGACGTCATGAAGGCGTTCCATGACGTAATCAAGCGATGGCATGTTGAAGAGCATGGTTACTAAATACATCTTTTTGTCTAGAGCAGTATTTGGCACTTAGAAGCTAACCAACAGCTAAAGGTGAAATTATTCATCAAATCGGACCCTTGTCTCAATATTTCCGAACGTGGAACATTCCCCTTTAAGGATTTCTGCCCATTTTGCACCGGCAAACATGTTCCGGGACATACAGCCGCCTCCTATTTGTGCTCTAGCACAGAGTCCACAGGCGCATCACACGCAGACACACGAACAGTGAGATTCCCCATCCGCGTGCCGCGGTCGCGGGGCGTCGGCCGGCGGTCGCGGCGCGGCGGTGGCGGCCGACGGGCGTACCCTGGCGGCAGGCGTGTCAGGGCTGGGCCCGCCGCCGCCGCCGCCGCCGTCGCCCGGCGGACCGGCCGTGGTCGTGCCGCCGCCGTCGTCCGGACCAGCCAGCGACGGTCGCACGTCCAAACCGTGCGCCGCCAGCGCGAGCAGCTCGTCACCGCTGTAGTCGATCGTCTCCACCGCTACGTTCCGGGTCCTGAGCGAGCAGACGGGGGCAGCGTCACCCGCATGCCCCGCCACCCCCGCCGCGCCATCTCAGGGCGGCGTCCGGGCGCAGTGGATCTTTCGGAGCTACCGAGTGCTTGCGGAGAGAGTTCACATCACTGAAACGGCAGGGTACCACCGAGTGCAGTGTGGCAGTGAGGTCGGCTGGCACAAACTGTAACAGCACTGGTTTGGTACGGAACATGGGATATCACCATCGTACGGAAGTCAAGTCACACTGGACGCGCCATTTTAATTTTGTCTTCTTCACAGTCCAGGCAAGGTCATTTCATGACCGGCAGTTCGGCGATGTCGGTGTCTGAATACCATCGGTTGTATTCTTCCATCCCGTCCGGTTTCACTGTACCTAAGCACCTCGAGTGGGGTGTTTGCTCGCCTGTGGGCGTCAGACTAAGAGCGTCCGCACCTGAGCCGCAGCCTGGGTTGAGCGTCCGTACCTGAGCCGCAGTCGGGGGCCCGTCCGTACCTGAGCCGCAGCCTGGGGCCCGTCCGTATCTGAGCCGCAGCTAGGGGGCCGTCCGTACCTGAGCCGCAGCCGGGGGCCCATCCGTACCTGAGCCACAGCCGGGGGTGAGCATCCGTACCTGAGCCGCAGCCTGGGGCCCGTCCGTACCTGAGCCGCAGCTAGGGGGCCGTCCGTACCTGAGCCGCGGCCGGAGGCCCATCCGTACCTGAGCCGCAGCCGGGGGCTCGTCCGTACCTGAGCCGCAGCCGGGGACCCGTCCGTCCTGAGCCGCAGCCTGGAGCTCGTCCGTACCTGAGCCGCAGCCGGGGGCTCGTCCGTACCTGAGCCGCAGCCGGGGGCTCGTCCGTACCTGGGCCGCAGCCGGAGACCCGTCCGTACCTGAGCCGCAGCCGGGGACCCGTCCGTACCTGAGCCGCAGCCGGGGACCCGTCCGTACCTGAGCCGCAGCCGGGGACCCGTCCGTACCTGAGCCGCAGCCGGGGGCCCGTCCGTACCTGAGCCGCAGCCGGGGGCCCGCCTGGTCGCCGAGCACCGGCAGGACGACAGCCAGCTGCTCCACGGCTCGCACCAGGTGACTGGCGGCGGCGGCCGCCGTCGCGCCGCCCAGCACCACCGCCATGTTGGTCTCCATCAGCTGACTGACGGTCTGCAGGGCCAGGCGGGCCGCCTGTGCGGACACAGCGCGCCGGCCGTCAGCACGGACCGCGCCGGCTCAAGCCCTCACACACTGATCCTTCCCAGGTCCTCGACCTGCCTGGTAAAGAGCGACTACTGCATCCTCCTCGACTCCGGGTGACAGCGCTGACGTGGCATGCCAGTCGGTCGGTAAAGACGGCACTTGCTTTGCTGCGACGCTGTTGTGCCGACAACAGCGCTTCCAAGGGCAATGCTGCCCTAACTTCTATCATCGGTACGGCATCGGCGCATGCCACATATTATGAGACCGTGGGGGAAATCGTAGTCAAGGGCTGATCACCAGATCTGCCCTTGAGCAGTGTCTCCCCGCCAGCCGCGCAATCCGCCGTTTGGCCTCACCCGCCCATCTTTGGCCGCCTGGGGCATGACGTCAGCCAGCTGCTGCGCTGCCGATGTGAACGAATCAGGGTTGAGTGCGCCGCCGTATGACGTCACGTTACGCCAGATTCGCTCGGAGATGTTGTGAGCACGCGCCACCAGCTGCAACAGGGGAGCCGGTATAACCGATGTGCTGCCAGGGCGGAGCGCGGCCGCTTAACTGAGCGGAGGCCATCTCTGAGAGGTGGAAGGATACACACTGGCAGAACTCGGTGTAACTGGACCATTGGGAGCACGACATAAGGCGTGCTAGCCACTGTCAGTCTGTTGAGAGCCTCTTGGGCTGTTTCTGAAACCTGTCAGAAAACGCTGCATCAGGCACGAAACAAACATGCTGCATTATACAAATAAGCTCACCAGTTCGTTTGAGCGGGAGATGTTGCAGCGAGACGCCCGGCCCGGCCGCCGTGACCGGACCGCCCAGGCTACTCACCTTCTCTCGGCAGAGTTCGGTCTGAGAGGGCAGCCAGCGTGGCGGCGCCGCCGGCGCGGCGGCCGGCTGGCAGACGCGCGAGGCGAGCGGCTGGTCGGGTCCCGGCGCGCGCCCGCCGGCCGGACAGAGCACGGTGGCGCGCCGGCCGGCCGGCGTCTCAGCCCACAACAGCCGGCCCCAGCGGCCGTCCTCCAGCTCTGGTGGGCAGCTCACTGTGCTCGGCGGAGGCAGCGCCGGTCAGCGCCGCTGCTCGGGGCGGCACCGCTCGCTCGGCAGGCGCCAGACACACCGGAGCGGCGCAGCGGCCTCACAACACGAACAACCCGAACAGCCAGAGCACAGAAACAGCCATCTTGCGTGCGGTGGTGGGCAGGTGGAAATGAATGTCATCATAGAGAATGATAACAAGCAGGTGGTGGTGCTGCGAGGTCAAAAATAAGAGCTGCATCCATACCTCCTGATCTGTCACGTACATAACCTTTTGAGAAAGTTGTGGACCGAGTTGACAAAACGCACTTTGCAATTCATTGAAAATCACCGACCCCCTGCTCATATAGATGCCAACATCTCAATTTTGCTAGGTTTTGCCGCTTGTATAAGATGGATAGCACCGCTTATAGAGCTGTTAGGGTTATTAGGACAATGCCTAGCATGTTTAGCACTGAACCGATACTTGACAAGGCTCATCTGAGCCCGCTCTAGGCGCTGCATGCGCGGAGCCTGCCGGCCACATACAGCACTGACGATGACGGCCGTCACTGACCCGGCGTTTGGCAGAGATGGCCCGTGTACCCCTCCGGGCAGCTGCACCGGAAGCTGGCGAGACCGTCCCGGCACACGCCTCCATGCTGGCAGGGGTCGCCAGCGCAGTCGTCTGCGTCGGCACCCAGGGGACGGTCAGCGGAATGGCAGTCAACGACGGATCAACACCCAGGGGACGGTCAGCGGACCAACGGTCAGCGACGGATCAACACCCAGGGGACGGTCAGCGGAATGGCAGTCAACGACGGATCAACACCCAGGGGACGGTCAGCGGAGCAACGGCCAGCGACGGATCAACACCCAGGGGACGGTCAGCAGAACAAGTCAGCGGCGGAACAACACCCGGACGGACGGTCAGCGGAGCAAGTCAGCGACGGATCAACACCCAGGGGACGGTCAGCAGAACAAGTCAGCGGCGGAACAACACCCGGACGGACGGTCAGCGGAGCAAGTCAGCGACGGATCAACACCCGGACGGACGGTCAGCGGAGCAAGTCAACGACGGATCAACACCCAGGGGACGGTCAGCAGAGCAAGTCAACGACGGATCAACACCCGGACGGACGGTCAGCGGAGCAAGTCAGCGACGGATCAACACCCGGACGGACGGTCAGCAGAGCAAGTCAACGACGGATCAACACCCGGACGGACGGTCAGCAGAGCAAGTCAGCAACGCATCAACACCCGGACGGACGGTCAGCAGAACAAGTCAGCGACGGATCAACACCCAGAGGACGGTCAGCAGAGCAAGTCAGCGACGGATCAACACCCGGACGGACGGTCAGCGGAGCAAGTCAGCGACGGATCAACACCCGGACGGACGGTCAGCGGAGCAAGTCAGCGACGGATCAACACCCGGACGGACGGTCAGCAGAGCAAGTCAGCAACGCATCAGTACCCGGACGGACGGTCAGCGGAGCAAGTCAGCGACGGATCAACACCAGGACGGACGGTCAGCAGAGCAAGTCAACGACGGATCAACACCAGGACGGACGGTCAGCAGAGCAAGTCAGCAACGCATCAACACCCGGACGGACGGTCAGCAGAGCAAGTCAGCGACGGAACAACACCCGGACGGACGGTCAGCAGAGCAAGTCAGCAACGCATCAACACCCGGACGGACGGTCAGCAGAGCAAGTCAGCGACGGATCAACACCCAGGGGACGGTCAGCAGAGCAAGTCAGCGACGGATCAACACCCGGACGGACGGTCAGCGGAGCAAGTCAGCGACGGATCAACACCCAGGGGACGGTCAGCAAAGCAAGTCAACGACGGATCAACACCAGGACGGACGGTCAGCAGAACAAGTCAGCGGCGGAACAACGCCCGGACGGACGGTCAGCGGAATAACAGTCAGCGACGAATCAACACCCGGACGGACGGTCAGCAGAGCAAGTCAGCGACGGAACAACACCCGGACGGACGGTCAGCGGAATAACAGTCAGCGACGCATCAACACCCGGACGGACGGTCAGCAGAGCAAGTCAGCAACGCATCAATACCCGGACGGACGCACGTTGGGCCAGTAATAAGTGAGACGACCAGTGAGTGACGGTTCAACGTCCGTACGCCCGGCCAGTAGAACAAGATCAGTCTCGACGCATCAGACAACCGAATCATCAGCTAGTGGTCGGTCGTCATGGATTTACCTGGGGTCTCCAATACATGCGCAATGCTATGTATTGCGTGTTTCATACCAAGCCGACCACTTCAGTAGTGAAATTCACTTCAAATGACACGTAGTATCAGTACTTGCAACCATGTATCACACATTATCTGTGGGATGAGGTATCATTGCACACTAATCTACCGTTAGACCGACCAGTTTCGGTCAGTTTTTAGCTGTCTCTCAGATGCTGCGCATAATGCTTGTCAAAGGAACACAGCATTAGGGAGGGAAAACAGCGCCCTTTACTCCGCCATCAGTGTTCGGGGCGGCGCACTTGCACTCGGTCACTGTAAGATGCAGGCCGAACCTTTAAAATGGACGGATATCTGAGATCAAAGCCCACCTTAAGCAGTGCATGATGTTTGAGTCCTGGCCCCCACAATCCAATCGTGAAATTTCACGTTAATGACAGAATTTGACGACGAAAGTGCCGCACTGCTTGGCGCGGTCCGTCGTGCGCTCTTACGTCACACTGACCTTTAGAGCGGCCACAGTCCATCCCAATCAAGAGCAAATAGCGAGTTTCTACAGCGACTCGAACCCGCCCCGCCACGGAAGGGTGGATTGGATGGCAGGCGCTCTAACCAGCTGAGCTATCGGAACGGACGTGCGTGTGGCACAATCCCTCGCATCCGTCGCACAAATCTAATTTTGGGTGTTCTTCAGCGGCACATTCGAGCCCTTCGTTATACATTGTCGACAGCATCTTACACCGACTGCCGTAATCACGACCGATCCCTTGGCCGTGAGCGAGGTTTGGGTCCCGCCCACCCTAGGCGCCCGGTCATGCGCGGACGCTCCCCCCCCCCCCCCCGCCCCCAAACGCTTCAACATTCTGCAGACCTGTCCCGATGCTGCCTTTTCCGCACTGATTTCAGAGCTCGCGTTACTGGGCTGCGTGCAGCGACCGAGTTACCTATGTTGATATGGCAGTCGATGCCAGTGAAGCCAGCAGGGCAGAGGCACGTGTAGTCGGTGGCGCCATCTACGCAGGTGGCGCCATTGTTGCAGGGCGAGGAGGCGCAGAAGTCCAGGTCCAGCTCGCAGTGCGGGCCTGCCAGACACAGACAGTTGCTCAGCGAGATAGACACACGAGCCGCAGCGGCCAGACGGCAATGTACAGACAACTGGGGTTCACAGTATCACCGAGACCAGAAGCCGCTCGGCGGGGGGACGCGTGACGTCACGCGCCGGGGCGTGGTCTTGCCGGCTCCCGCCTTTTCGCCAACGGCACGAGCAGGACGTTCGGCGCACCTGCGTATCCTAGGCGACACTGGCACCGGTAGCTCTCCGCCTCGGCGTAACACGTGGCGCCGTTCCTGCACTTGGCTGATGCGCACGGGTCGAACGTGGCGCACGTGTCCCCACGGTACAGTGGGGGACACGTGCACACGTATGTGTTGGAGACGTTACTGAAACAGAGATGCATGGCTGGTCATAGAGCTTATTCGCGACACTGGCACCGATACATCCCGCCTTTCATGCAACGGCACATGTCATATAGGACATAAATCAGTGTTGTGTCGCCATACAATGTCATGTCACAGACATACAAGCCTGTCACGCCACATCGATTCCCATCAAATGGAACATGACAAAAATGTCATTCGAATGCAGCTAATTATGTAGCGACCATCACACATAGCGCTGTATGGTACACATGTGCTCGTTAACAGCTCACCTACTACACCACGGCCACGTTTCGCGTCAAACCTTTTGAGTGACGCTAACACATTGTAGCAGACCTAATAAGCGACGCTGACACGGCTGTCAGGTGGCTCACCTGTGACAGGTGCCGCCGTTCAGGCACGGCGTGGGGTTGCCGAAGCACGGGTTGAAGTCGGCGCAGGTGGTGCCGTAGAAGCCGGCCATGCAGCGGCACTCGAACGCCTCCGAGCTGAGGTTGCGGCACGCGCCTGCGGACGGGCCGTCGCGGCGTCACCGTCACTGTGCTGGCGTCATTTGTCACCGTATTGGTCACCTGCTGAAATCTGGCTGTTCTGCGATCGTTCGAACGGATCCAGTGGTCGCATCAACTGTCCAGTTCCTCTGTGCAGCCACGCTATTAACCAATGGTTCAAATGTGGACTTTCGGTAAAGCGCAACTCCTCGAGTCTTTGATTGTGTCCACACCGCCTGTGATATGTCCGCCCAAAACATCACGTTTGCAGCGAGTTCGCTTAAGGTGCTGCGAAATTGCTTCTATTTGGTGACAATTAGCTTTAGCTTTCGTCGTTTAATGGCCAATTCGTCATCCGACAGACATCTTTTTGTAACGTGCATGCATGAAAAACTACTAGATTCCACAGAACATGCGCAATGTCACATTTCGTCTATACTCGCCGAAGTTTTGGCACGGTTTCGTATGGCACGGGTCCACGTGTTGACACCGCTGGCCGTAGGCACCCTCTGGACACGTGCACGTGTATCCGGGCCGTCCGGCCGAGCGGCGGCACGTGCCGTTGCCGCACACGTTTCCCGTGCATGCTGCGGACAGTCGAAACACGTGCGAATGGACGCATGAGCTGTTGCGACACCTGGAATGACAATGCGCTGATGGTGACAAAAGAAAGGTTTCTTTCACAAACCTGTCATTGATCAAGTGAAAAGAGACAAACACCGTGCGATGAACGAAATTGTGTTTTAACGAGAATGAGCGAAAGGGACAGACTGAAATACGAAAAAGTAAGCATCGGGAGAGATAGAGAGAGCGAGAGCGAGAGAGAGAGCGAGAGAGCGAGAGAAAGAGAGAGAGAGAGAGAGAGAGAGAGAGAGAGAGGGGGGGGGGAGACTCACGGCTGAGGCGTGTTCCGAAGGTCACCATCTGGCTGGCCATCCCAGTCTCGTGCTCCCGCCAACCGTACACCACCATGTTGTATTTGGTCCATGGCTGTAAGCCGTCCAGCAGCGTACACTCTTCGTCCTCCTCCAGTAACATCTCGTGTTTCTCGTTGCTTTTGCCGTCCTCCTGTTACCCAAACAATGCACGAGCAAACATTAAAACAATGGGAACGCAAATATCGTCCGTTCACCCCATTCTTCGCTTCCAAGGACTGAGCATTGGAAGAGGGATGTATGCACACATTTTAAGTAACCAGCAGGGGCAGAACTTCGTATCATTGACCAGGTGGGTACAGTGTGCGAAGGACGGCTTTCTAAGCACAGCTCATCGCATTTTAGTGGTTTCAATCATGTTTCGCATCTACGATCGACAGGGGTGTCACACGAACATTGAGAGCATTGCCCCAAATCAGGTATTAACCTTTCACCATGGACAGGCAATGCCCAACAATATCCGATAGCTATAACACGAATTTCACCGCCCAAAACATTTGCATTCGCAACTTACCCAGGTAAAGGGTAATCTTCACAAGCAAGTCAGCATCATGGAGCGGTCGCCTGTCCGGTACCTGACCTCGGCCCGGCAACGGCGCGAGGCCCTGTGCCGCGACTGACCTGGATCAGGGTCACGGAGCGCGTCATCAGCTGGCTGCGGTCGCGCAGCACCAGCCGGGTGGCGTTGGCGGCGCCGGCGGCGTCGGCCGAGCGCAGCTGCAGCATGTAACCGGACACGGGTCCGTTGCGGGGTCGCCGCCAGCAGACGTACACGCTGCTGTTGGTGCTCTGCACGGCCCGCACGGCCAGCGGCTCTGTCGACCCGCGGCAGACGCGTCAGGTCACCGGACACGGCGCCGGGCCGGGGGCTGCCGAGGCTGCAGGCGCGGGGTGGCTGACCCCCCCCCACCCCCCCCCCACCCCCACCTAACGTGACGGTAAGCGACTGGGCCTGCGGGGTGTTATGAAAACCATTTGACATTTCCAGTTATAGGTTGTTTTGTTTTCACAATAGTAGTTCACGTTGACTTGATCTCGGGCAGAAGTCAGAATCCATGGCTATATTACATATATCCTTATTTTCCATACATCCGAATGCGACCCACATTCACTTAGTCATGAGCTCAAATATACATTTGTTTGGGTTGGTGAGCCTGCAGAGTCTGATTTTGCTTGAAAAGTATCACGCCACTTCAATCCGAGTTTCACAAGGCATAAACACAATTAGATTCTAAGCCCCCGATGTGACTCGGGCTCACGCATGTCTGACAGGGGGGACAGGAAGCTCTACGGACAGGGCCGCATACACATCTGCGCAAGGAGGATAATGGCTGTGTCTTAACAGAGAGGGGGCTGCAAAACATTTTG